CAAAAAAAACATAAATGAAAACACATATAAAAATAGAGTGCATGCAAAATATGCATATAAAGGGGACCAATATATCAGAAATGTTGCTCATGACTTGAGACTGTGTTATGACAGACAGGAACAGATCTAAGCTGCCAGATCTGCTCTATTCCTCTTTGTATAATATAGAGATGGAAAGGATTTTTCCTTTTGTTACAGAGCTACAAGGGTCACTGTTTATTGCCCACCTTGGTGGATGTGGGATATTAAGATGCTCCCTCCCCCCGCCACCATATGGACTTTCCCTGTACGATTCACAGGCTGTTAAAACACACTGGTTGCTTCAAGACAAAGGAATTGTAGTTCATCTACACAATGGGAATCTTCCTGATGTTATTCTGTAGTGCCCCCCCCCCTTACTTCCCCTCACCTCTCCACGTGTTTTTATCTGTGACTGCTGAACTTTAGCAGGAATGCAGAAAACACACACACAAAAAAAAAGGATGCTGCTAGTACAATAACAGCATCACTTCACAAGCTATAATCCACTCGCTGAGAGGCTCTTGGCAGCTACAACTCTCAGCTGCAAAAGCTTGACAGCCATGCATTGTGAGTTGCGCTCATTGGCGGCGGAAATGCCATAACTAAGTTGCGGTGTGTCTGCGTACAGCAGGGAGGAAATATCTGTACCCCCTTTTTTTTTTTCCCTGCCATGCTGCTCTCTCTGCATTACTTGCTTCCCCCTGCATTGTCTAGAAGAAGTAAGTAGGCAGGAGGCTGTCTCTTTTCTCTGTGTCTGCACAGCCGGTTCATTGGTAATGTGATGATTGTCCTGGGGGACATTTGATGGATTAGAGAGCTAAACAGCTCCATTGCAAAGCACCACCTGATCTCAGGCCTGCATCCCATATAAAGACAGCGTGAGTGCTGAGCTCAGCTCTTGCTGCCAGATCTCCCCCTCCCCTCCTTCCCAGCTCCCTCAGTCTCCCTTTCTCTCACTCTCTCCTCTCTCACTCCCCGCACACTGCAGAAAGTGTGAGCTGTCCAGTGCTGAATGTGAGGCACCGTCTCTGGCTCCCTTTTTTTTTTTAGAACACAAGACTGTCAACGCACAAAGGGAGTGAGCCCCCTTGTTCCTCTGCAACATGCCCCGCTCCTTCTTAGTCAAGAAGATAAAATTAGATGACTTTTCGACGAGCGGGATTTCGGCCTCCAGTTACCACCACTTTGACGAACCCTGTGTCCTGAGCCAGTCGCTCACCAGCACCGTGGGCAGCTTGGGAGTCCCTGTTGCTGAAGATGGTAAGTGAGCACCCTTGGGTGCAAAAATGAGACCTGCTTTAGCAAATTCTTTCCTTTTTTTTACAAGTGACCTGCTTGGTATTGAAGGAGCTGTTGGACTTTTTTTTTTTAATTGAAGGTGATGAGACTGGTTTTGGAATTGATTGCTGTTGATATTTATTGCGCCGTTGACTTTTACGCAGAGACTTGCTTTACGTCTACTTAGCCGAGAGAAGAGTTAGGCATTGCTTACGTTATGCGTAGTTGGGACAGGGCTGATAAGACGACCTTTGTGTTCTGCTGACTTGTGACAGCCTCCGTTGGGTGCTTTGTGGTGGAGCCACTTGGAGCTCATCAACTGTTAAGGATCGACAAGACTCAGCATGCCTTAGGACATGCAGCTCCTTAACAGCAGGAGTGGTACAAGTTGCACACGCTAGTCCTAGATTGTGCATTTATCTCAGCTTTTCTTTGCTAATTCTTTTAGCTGAGATGTATAGGAATGAGGGGGGAGAGCCGACCACCAGACAAAATAACTGCTACGCTAGCAAAACTAAGTTAAAGTTGAAGGTTGAGCTGTCTGCATGCAGCCAGTGTCAACACAGCGCAGAAGCTTTTGGTGACTGCAGCATAATAAGACACGCAGAATCTTCCACTTGCACTGTGGCATGTTTGGCCGCTATCACCTGTAGAATAAGCCCTACGTTCACAATGGGTTTCTTGATGTTCTATAAGCTACTCTCCTGCCTTCTGAAAGAATACAGCTTTAATTCCTGTACTATCTGGCCCTTCATGCCTTTTAGAAGAGCGAATGCCAGCGGTTTACATAGGGGAGAACAGAAAGGGGTGGGGGGAGGGGAGCGAAGCCTCCTTGGGGACCTCATTGTTCACGCGGCAGGCAAAAGACTCTCTCTAAAGCCCTTTAAGAGGCACCATCCTGGGAGAAGCTCATCTATTTGATATATGAGAGGCAATGGCTAGGTGGATTTGAACCAAATGTATTTTTGATTGTGTCTTGGTTTTTTTTTTCTCTCTCTCTCTTTGCTTTTTTCTCCTATTAGCGCATTCTCAACAATGATTAGCCAATAAGGCTGACATGTGTCATTGCAGTAGGTTTCTCAGTGACAGCTACAGGCAAGGCTTGTGCTTCTGATCCAGAGATGTAACTTGCTGCTGTCCCAGAGCTGTGAATTTGCAAGCTAAGCACATCTTCCTTTAAGGCTGGAATTTAAAATACAATGCTATCTGAACTGTTGTCAGAGCGGATGTCTCCTTAGTATAGCAAGATGTACTGACAAGCGGCCAGCTCAGAGAAAGCACTGCCTGTTTATCTACCTGGTAACTCACGGACATGGGGGAAGCTCAATTTTTAGTTTGCATCAAGCATCAGTGGTCGTGTTTTTTTCTTTCTTGAGGATTAGTTGCTAATTTTCAATTGTCCTGGGACCCCCAAAACAATCACGGTCCTAATACCATGCAAAACAAGCATTGCTTCTAATTATCTTAGGATCAAATAAATGATTGTGGGCCTCCATGTGGTTGCACACAACTGTACCATGTGCTGCTTAGAACATAAACAGTTAATTAGATATAGGCATGCAAACAGCAAAAATGATGTGTATGTAGTAGTGCAGTAATACCTATATGGGAATTTGATGGGATTGTGGGAAACAGATGTATCTGGTTGTGGTGGGTAACTGCAGTCTCACTTTATAACTGCTCATAATTGTAGCACCTCTGGAGCTGCTGAAGAACTACAACTGCCAGCGTTTAACGGCAGCGTGATCCTGTATGGTCTTCACCAAACCAAAGTCCTTCTCAGGCTGGGAGTTTATCCTTAATTACCAATATAGTCTTTCAAAACCCTCTCCTCCCCCCCAGCCAAAATATAAGGTGTTCCTTACAAAAGAAACTTTCAGCGATATGCTCAATAAATGTTTCACAAATACCTCGACACATATTATAATACAAGGTGTTGACATACTGAAGGTCTACAAGGCTTCTACCCTTCTACCCTAGCCTACTGAAGGCCTAATAGGCTTCTATCCTAGCCTACTGAAGGCCTAATAGGCTTCTATCCTGCCTACTGAAGGCCTAATAGGCTTCTATCCTAGCCTACTGAAGGCCTAATAGGCTTCTATCCTAGCCTACTGAAGGCCTAATAGGCTTCTATCCTAGCCTACTGAGGGTCTACTAAGCTTCTACCCTAGCCCACTGAAGGTCTACTAGGCTTCTATCCTAGCCTACCGAACGTATACTAGGCTTCTACTCTAGCCTACTGAAGGTCTACAAGGCTTCTACCCTAGCCTACTGAAGGTCTATAAGGCTTCTACCCTAGCCTACTGAAGGTCTACTAGGCTTCTACCCTAGCCTACTGAAGGTCTACTAGGCTTATACCCTAGCCTACTGAAGGTCTACTAGGCTTGTACCCTAGCCTATTGAAGGTCTACTAGACTTCTACCCTAGCCTACTGAAGGTCTACTAGGCTTGTACCCTAGCCTACTGAAGGTCTACTAGGCTTATACCCTAGCCTACTGAAGGTCTACTAGGCTTATACCCTAGCCTACTGAAGGTCTACTAGGCTTGTACCCTAGCCTACTGAAGGTCTACTAGACTTCTACGCTAGCCTACTGAAGGCCTACTAGGCTTCTACCCTCAAACTGTAGGAAATCATAGGCATAGCATTCATTAACAGATGCAAGATCGGGAAAGTGCATGCAAGGCATAAAAACAGATAAATCTGATTGCCTTTGTATATGAAAATGTATATGGATGTATTTTAATCCTTTTATATCAAAGACTTTAATCTTATAGCTATCCTACATCCTCAACTAAACACAGCATATAAAAACACGTGGAGTGCACGTTATATTTTGGCTGGAACCTGAAAGCTACCCTTTTTTTGTTCAAGGGCTTCAAACCAGGGCTATTTAAATCTTGTTTTATATATAAAAAAAAGACATGAGCAGCAGTACAATGTGTAGTGTTCTCATCGTCGAACAGTAGTACCCTTTGCTGACACAGATGTATCATCTAATCTAACACTTGCAGTTCACGACTTGCTAAATGTGGCTTCCTATTGCTATTCCTATTAATTCATTGTTCCAATCGCTGCTAGTATGTGTTAAGGAAACTGGGAGACACAATGTACGCTCAAACAGGTGTCCCCGAGAACAGTATACTTATTTCAGAGCATTTACAGAGGACATGTAGCTGGAAGACAGGGGTAATGCCTCTCAAAGTCATGCTCTTGAAAATAACCTTGCATCGTTCTTTAGAGAGGTGTGAAATATTGCTGAGGAAAGCTTTTTGTACCTGGGGCACGTGACCGCACATACTGCAAACAAGGAGGGAGAGAGATGATTTTAACAAGCAGCAGAAATATCAGACTTCCAGATGAGGGAGGATAGACTGGAGGAGCCTCATTCTGGTTCTATGGCACACATCGATTGGTGATTCTGCCAGGCAATTTTGAAACATAGACCCCTGCAGGAGGTGAAGCGTGCAAATTGCTATCGTGAAGTTACACTGGGGAACGAGTTTTATTAATATAGTGAGGTTATGAAGTGGCATGAGGATATTGCTAGACAGCAAATGAGTGCTAATCTTACAATCTTGTACAAAGAGCAATGACTGTGTTCAAACTGCAGAAACCCATCGACCAACTATATATAGGGGAGTCCAATCAATAAAAGGTCAACTGTGAAATCAGGTTTCTATGGATTACCACATTCTGTACATTCTACTTCCCGAATGCAAAGGATGTCAGAGTAAAAAATGCTAAATACAATACATGGGCCTTGTTAATGCGTAAAATAATATATGAAACAACCAATCGGCATTGATCTCTTATAGTTCTGGCCCAGCTGTTTTGTGGTATTGCACTTTGTATATCATTATTGCACCTTAATAAATAAGCCTGAGTGAATGGATGACAACAGAGCTTAAGGTGCTTGTTACAACACACAGTTGCATGCCAGGGTGACTGCCACAGAGAGGGAGAGCCACTGCTTCAGTCACAGTCCATAAACCTTCTATAGAGCAATTTGTGTAGAAACAATGGGCCCAGCTCCATTAGGAAGACATTCTGAAATTTGCCCCTGCATGTTTTTTATCAGGCAGCAGTCTCCAACCTTCTGGCCTTCAGCTGTTTACAAACTACAAGTCCTAGCATGCTGGCACTTGTAGTTCAACAACGGATGCAGAGCTCGCTGATGCCCCACCATGAGCGCAGATCAGTACTGCTAGCTGGCTACTTTTTAGACTAATGAATAATCAACTGCTGTTGTGAAAAAGTAATTAGATGTTTATGTTGATGTTTTAACGTATTGTGTCATGCTTCAGTATGCTTATGTTTGGAGTATGTTGTTGACTTTCAGTGATTTTACATTTGGGTATTTGGTTGTGTACCAGTATTTTTTTTGTGCTTAGGTCAATTCTCACAGAAACTTGTGTCTATTTTTAAAACATTGTTGGACTGTTTTCAAAATGATGTAGGACAAGGTACATTACTGATTAAAGGAGAAGTACTGCGAGAGTAAAATGTATACTTCCCAATTCTTAGAGCCTGCAGTGTCACATGCAGGCTCTAAAGAGGGGGCAGCACAACTGGCTCTAGCTCTAGAGAGGCAGAGCCAGCTGTCAATCATGCATCCCGACCTCATAGTCAGGATATTGCCCAGCTGCAGCGCGGCTCTGTGCTGTCAGCAAGTAGCAGGCAGTAGCTGTAAGCTGACTTTGGGTCACAGGAGTACATTAACTAAAAAATAGGACTGAAGCCAAAATAAAGGTTTGTCTTTAGTTCTCTTTTAAATTAGGCTAACGTGTAGATAATTTCCAAGATTGCTACTCACCATTCACATACAGGTTTCTTATTCATAGCAAAGTGAATTGTGAAATGTGCCCCGACCTATATACCCAACCAAACGTCCCCTTTTATTGTTGTAAACCAGGGGTAGGCAACCTCAGCACTCCAGCTGTAGTGAAACTACAAATCCCAGGAGTCATTGCAAGACTCTAAT